ACTTCTCTCCTGAGAGGGAGGCAGTTTGGCAACGTCTGAGGGCGCAGACATATTGGACCACGCTGGCCTCAGCCAATCCTGTGTCTCTCTGTGGTCAAATGGCATGCGAGGGAGATAAGCAGCCAACCAGAGATCGAAACGAATGAGGAGCCGTACATGAAGAGCGGCGTAGCCAGCGTGTTTGACTCGGATGTACGGCGCCTGCAGTGTAGTTCTGACTTGTGATTGGTCAATGAAGCCTGTCCTGTTGTACCAGTCTTCTTCTTACTTGGGCTCGGGTATTCTACAATATCGGATCCAATCTTAAGTCTTTGGCCTACGCATGCGAACAGTGGCCAGCCAAATACAACTAAGGGGCAAGGATAGAGTCTGGAGGTTGAATTTTCGTGTTTATTTGGGTAATCTACAACGGCCTACTTCACGTTTCATGAAAAAGATTTCTTGACATAAGCTGAAATAATTAACAAGTGGTCACCTTATGTTTCATTCAAAATTGTGAAATTAAAAGAGAACAGTATGTCTTAATTTATTTGTTCAGTGATGTTTTATTTACTCCTAATAAGTACTTAAACTTTGTCAAAAAACTATTATTTTTAAAATTAATGCAATCGGTCTATCGTAATGCACTGAACCAAGGCTTAAAGTGAATTGGTATACGGAAATTTTCTTTTAATTGGCTTCATGGTGGACGCTTGCATTTCAACCATTATAAGAAAATGGAATTGCGTCACCTGAAGTTGGCAACTGATACAAAAGTTTAGACAAAAGTTGTTTATTTATCATGCAATTAATATCTGTTCAATATGGATTTGGTCTCTATACATGAACTCTGACCCGTAAACCGATTTTGAAAAATGTTATAAATTTACGGTAAGTGATATTATCTGACTCATGCAGATTCAAACAATTAACCCTATAGCTCCAGTATGCATCACACACCCTTCGTTTCAGCGATGCAGGTTTATATGTTTTCCCAAACTTCTTTACATATTATTGCATCGTCACTCGTATAAATAGTAATATCATCCAGACATACGTACGTTAATCAGTCCGCCAACACTGTACCGGTCAATCGCCTCATTAGACATCCATTAACGTGGACGCACACCCTCGCACAACTACGTCTAGGTAGAGCTGGTTAGTAATGACTGTGCCTCTGTTATCTCTGGTCTAAGCCAGTTCAACACGGTGGCCTTGGCGTGGTTCAAGATCACATAATAAAACACTATTACAGTACTCAGGATTTAAATTTATGTCTGCTGATTTAGGATCATGTCCATGGTCAAGGCTACAATGAAACCCAGTGAGGCAACTCTCGTTACTTAGTGTTCTAAAGAGTGAGCATTCAATATTTACCATAGTAATAAATATCAGCTTCACCCCAAATGCCATACTCCTTCCAAATTTTATACTTTCAAGTCATTATGCTTTCGGTGAAGTGTTGTCAGCGGCATTTTCGGGTGTTTTGATCATTCAAGAGCTAACCATTCCGGTGGTAGGTTATCTGATTTCAGGTCCCAATATTCGGGCTTTTTTGTTCTATAATATATTTGCATAGGTCATGTTAAATTTGATACCCACTAGATTCGTCTTGACAGTTGCCATTTGCACTAAGGATTTTAAACAATCTGTCTCACTTTTCTCGCGTGAATATCATTGGTTGGGCCGTGAAGCAGGGTTTGCATCCACGCCTGGATCAACTATCAGCGTAAACTCGAAACGACTAGGATAACGCGAATATGAGAAACCACACGACACCATGGAAACCGGATTGTTTATTTGACAGTGGCCAACTTTAAAATAAGACAGAAAAAATTGGAATAACAAAGGCGTCTGACAAGACAGAAAAGGCATTTGATCGTAGGCTGTTATCGGACCCGGCCACGCAGGACAAGGAATGATATTGTTCTATAAAAATTAAGGTATAAGATGCTATTAAGAAGACATATGACACAATTAAAGAAAAGGCAGAATGTTGGAAAACGGTGGTAGAGGTGAATCAACGGCTCACTTACAAGACAAAACAGACGCCAACAAAGAGGAGACCAGAGGAGAAGAGGAAAACGGCGCCAGGAAAGGCAGCGAGTGTGGCAGCGTAGAACATCGGCTGAAGCGTGGTGCCGCAGAGCATGCCAGTTACCTCACAAAAAGCGTATGTTGAGAGTAAGCGGCCTGACGGGGAAAGCATAAAAAATGCGTTGTTGTTAATTTGAAATAAATACAAGCCGGATGTACACCAATCTGAGTCATCAGTCTGGCGGGTGCTTGAACAATTCGGACACCAATTGTAGAATATCCGAGCCCTAGCATGAATACGATTGGTACAACAGAACAGGCGTTATTGACCAATCACAAGCCAGAGCCACACGTCAGGTGTCGTCCATCCGAGTTCACCACGCCGACTACGCCGCTCATTATATACCGTTCCCCTTAGTGTCTGTCTCTAGTTAGCTGTGCATTTTCCTCTCATGCCATCAAACGCAAAGAGACCGAGGATAAGCTGAAGCCAGTGGGATCAAATATGCCTGCGCCCATATACGTCGCTACACAACCAATGAATGCGCAAGCAAAGAATCTGAACAAGTGTAAAAACCACGAGAAATGAAACATGGCCCCATGTCAACAGGGAGCTTAAATTTCCAACGTATTATTATACACTGCAGAATAAAAGTCGATAAGGAACCCATACGACATTCTGTTTAACGCATGACTTACCCTGCTCGTCGATTCTGACCGATCCAGTGAGAATTGACTTCATGAAGGGGTTGTAGAAGGCAATGACGCCGATTCCGAGAGCTAGCAGAGACAGGTAAAACCGGTTATACATACTACCAAACCTATAGGTATTTATTTAACAAGACTGAGAAATTGTAGAGGTATCACATTGAACTTCCATTTAGGGAAATTACCCGACAATGGAACGTTAGCGATTATGGAGCAAAAAATGTGCAATACCAACCAGCAACAAACACGCGATGTAACTAAAGACTGTAGTTTTTCAGCAATGAATTATGACACGTGCACTATATTGTGAAATCATGAGTTTAAAATCGATTACAAATGCTGGAAGATGAAGGATAACATGCAGGTAAAAAGAACGTCCCCAACAGCACAAATCGAAGTCTCATGTAAGCTTGCAGGCATCCTTTCTGCTGGAGAACGAATCAAGTGGGCATGTTCGTGTGAGTGAAGGAAAAAATTAGCCACCGTGCCATGAATTGGCTAGACAAGCACTACAGTATCGTGGTGGTCTATGCAAAGAACGTACCACATTCGACTGTGCATAATCTCTACCTAGTCCAAGGATCATTTACAATTCTTCCGATTCTACACCCAGAGAAAATTTTGTCCTTTTTTTAACACGAAGAGAGCAAAGTGAGATCGCAGTTTAACATTCACAGCGTTATGAAAGCGTCTACCGAAATAGCAACCCGATTGTGCAATGTCAAGACCATAAAAGGGTTTCGACATCACTTCCGAACCAAGCACCAAACAAGATCCTGTGTTGTGAATCGTGTTTATTCACGCCCCTTAATCCGGTCGCTCCACCTCCGACACAGGATTGCCCTTTTCGCAACATGTCGCCAGCCACGCGGATCCTCAACACCCCATCATTTGCACGTGCATTTATCTTAGATTATCCTCACACCTAGGTCTCGATATTAGCTCATGAATGACTCACACATCCGAGGTATAAACATACACGCACAAACCCCACACACGACACAACGATACCAACGTGGTTGAGCTCAGAAGTAAACGTTTCTGTCCACGTCCTCGCCCCGTCTTTGTCTTCATCGCGGATATCAGGGAAACGTAATCGGGCCGGGTTAATTCCGTGGCCCCGACGTGGTTCAAGATCACATGCTGGGGCCCACAACACATGAAATGCCATTTAATGAATCATACCGTGCATTGTTTAGGAGCCACTCGAGTCCTCTTCGGTGTGCCAATTCTCACTGTTTACCTTTGATTACTTCCCAGTCCACTTTCATTACATGTTATCAATCAACATTTGAATTAACCATGTTGGCCGATTGTTGGCTACTCGCATTAAACAACGCCTTTGTAATCGCGCCAATTGACAGCATGATCGTCTACCGGTGCAAATTGTTTACTGATGCAGTTTGCTTTGGCTCACCAAGTTTGCACTTGGATTGTGC